CATTTTTTGTTGTAATATATTAGGTACCCTTCTTGTACAGAAAAAAGGAGGCAAGTATTTCTCCAAATGAGTTTTAATATCCTAAATTTTATCCATACTTTAAGAAAAAAAGATTTTTTTTAATAAACTATAGAAATACAGTTAAAAATGGTTGAAATCATGTTTATAATAAAGAGTTTAAATCAAACATGAAATGCTGTAGGAGAACATACTGGTTTCAGAAATGTAAGATGTGATGTATGCAGACATAAATCTCTAAGCATGCAATTTGCTGACAAAGTTTATACTTTCAAACAGCTCCAGAATATGGGATGTATCTAGAGCAAAAAGCAGCAGCTTTTGTCTTTACAGAATATTACACCAGTATAAACAAGATGTGGATTTGAAAAGGCTAGAGGAATATCATTGGAATTTAGTATAGACATATAGAAGATTCACATTTTTTTCCTTTTAACTACATTATTCTCAAATCCTTTTAGGCAATCCTGGAAAGCCACAAAACTGCAGAAACAGTGTGCACAGAGAGCGTGAATAGCTATGACTTCAGCTATTCAAGTACATCACTATAAGCCTGTAAAAAGACACACACCATCTCTCTTGCAGTTCTGCTTCTCTGAGGTTCTCGGTATAACTGCAAAGCAGTCTCTCTCTGTTAAGTTTAAGGCCACTCGGGTTTTACTTCTGTCACTTGCCACATGTATTGAAAAAAGGAAAACCTCATGGTCCAGTCAATCCAGAAGGATGAAGTGGGAGAGGAAGAAAGCAGCCAAGAAAAGGCAGTTCGCAGTGGAAAGTGCTTCCTACATGAGGAGGAACAGAAAATGAAAAACAGACCACAAATTTCTAATCTTTACTGTGTGCAGTTGAACAATATTTTACAAAGTTCAGTAATGAAGACAAGAATGCAAATTTTTGCAGGAACTGAGCAGGATTTTCACCACACAAAGCTGGAAGCAAAATATAAATTACCCCTCTCATTTTATACCTACAACAAAAGACAAACCCTAAACTGAAGCAAAAATGCTGCTTCTTAGCAATGTAGGCAGGCCATTGCATTTTATATGTGATGTAGAGCACCTTTTCTTCTCATGTAGTGCGCTTAGCACCTTGGTTCACAGTTCAAGGAGTTACAAATACCTTCTAATCCTGCAAATTCACCTGAACACTTGAGCTGTTGGGCTTTGGATAAGCCAGGTAAAAGCAGCCGTAAGAAGCTCACATTGTGCCTTGTATCCAGCGATGTGCACTGCTGTATGCGGAAAGGCTCCAAGGACAGCACAGGCACCCAGGGACAGATCCTGTCTGGTTCCAGCCTCTCTTCATTCTGGTGATGTCTTTCACAGTTTTTACAATGTGTTCAAACCGAAGTGCATCATCAACTTACACAGCACAAAACTTTTCAGTTTAATTCTTTATTTTCTAAGTCATTCTTAGCATCTTGTCTTGCCATTTGCTGAGCAGTGAGCTAGTGTTTCAACAGAATTATCTAGAAAAACTCCAAAATAACTTTTCTTATGTCACTATTTACCCTCTTTAATATTTTTATTTACATATAAAATATGCTGAACTTATTTTGTTGAAAATGTTGGTATTTTATTCCTGTACTTTTTATTATTCTATTCTGCAACATTAAGGGGCCTCTACTCTTTTCTCAGCACATCTTTCTTTCTTATAGAAACTTTGAGGAGGGACACTCTCTAAAATGCTTAAAGAAATCTATGCAAACAATAGTCTGGCCTTCTTTGTCTCTGCAAAAACCCTGCTAAATATGAGGAAAGGACTCTTTGCCAGTAGGCATCTACACACACATTCACTAGTATTCGTTTCTCTCAATGTACAAACAAATCAAAATTTGTAGATGCAAACTTCTAGTTTGTAGATGCAACTTGATTTTTTTTAATTAGCATTGCTCTTATTGCTTTCCATTCCTTTACTAGGAGGCATTTTTCAATAGGGAATACCAGCTCCGATGTTCCACGCTTGAGACCTTTCAGAGCTCCTGGGTTTAGAAGTCTGGTCCCTGTCACTTTGTGCTAAACCTGTTTCTAGAGATGTTGCACTTTGGGACCAAGCTTCGCACATCCTGCACAGAAAGCCCTTGCATTCAGATTCGCCCAACTTCCTGAAAGCTTCTCTTTCATAGTGTGGTAAATTTTGAGTACTTTCTACATCTTAACCATCTGCTGAGCCTTAGCCCTCTCACACAGGCTTCCTGTTAAAAACACATATATATATATATATATGTATATATACACACACATATTTATAAACATATGCGGGCTCTACTACTCTTTATCTTCAATCTATCTTATTGTAACTTTTTCAAATTTGTTTAGATTTACTGGTTTTTATTTTCTTAACTTAGACACAAAATGCTTACATAGTAAGAAGGACAAAGGAAAACTTTTCCCTCAATAGCCCATTAAAAAAACATTGTTGTTGTCTGATGGGAGACCGAGTCCGTGTTCATATGGGTAATTCATTTTTTTCTTTTTGTATTAACCTGTCTTTGCATTTTAGGAATGCACATGGCCTCAGGAATGCTATATGGCCTTAAATCTGTATTTTCCAAAAAATACAAGAAAATTCAGTCCACCAAGGACTCCAGATTATCTGCCAGTTAACTTCAAGTCATAGAACGACACTAGTGTACCAGGGGAACAAAGACTCTGTTATCTTTGTCTCAATAGCCTCACTTAAAACCAAATAGTCTTGTGTTTTTGCAGATTCTGACATTACTATAGAGACATATAAACAGTTTTAATGGAATCTTATTTATATTGCTCTTTGCAATTTATTTTACCAACTTTTTAACTGAAGGGGATTGCTCATCCATAATCATGTTTTCCTTCTTACACATTTATCTTTCCCCAATTTCTAGATTTAAAACGTCCATATTTAAATAAATAAATAAATAAATAAATAAAAAGTTGTAAGATAATGGTAGCCTGGTTTTATTTTGATTGCGATAAAGCCTGAGTTTTCTGTACGTGCTCCTATTACTAATAAACCTAACTTTCATTTTCCCTCAGCACAAATTTTACAGCCAGGCACTAAAATACTGTCTCTGTCTCTTCCTATATATGAGTTTGGGAACATTTCGAGGAAAGCTACCAGGAGAGCTCTGGTCTTTAAACACAAGCATGACAGCCCAAAGAGAAGGCCAAACAAGGGAAGGGAATGCCAAGTAAGATCTTTATTCAAAATGGCAAAGTGTATGTTTTTAGGGGAGGAAGGAAGAAGGGAAAAAAAGAAAGTATCTTATTTCTGTCCAGTGCTGCTGCATGAGAGTCATATAGAAACAATAAAGAAAAAATTATCTGTAAAGAAATCTCAGAAATATGTCCAAAATAAATGGGGAGAGGGGAAGCTTTTCCTTACAAAATCAAAGGTTGTAAGCTCAACAGACTGCGATTTACATCAGCTTTCTGATTCTGTACTACATGTCCATCTCAGAGCTGTGAGGCTGCAAGGGTCCTAAAGCAACTTTCTAATGTGACCATCCCTGTTACCGCTTGAAATTTCACCACAGGATGAACATTTCCTCCCCTTTCTTCCTTCCCGAAATGTGTGTGTGTGTGTGGGGGTGTTAATACTGAAACTAAAGAAAACAAAACACACACAGAGCACAGGAAGGAGTATATCATCTTCCAAGACAAGTTGACAAATTTAGCATGGTTTTCATCTCACTTTCTATCCATGCCATCCATCCTAAAAGCCACAAGCATAAGTTCCTTCCTATCACTTGATGTGGTTTAGGAATTTGTTTTTTAGCCATATGGAAAACAGAACATTTGTGTTCATTTAAGTAGGTAAAATTGACTGCCTAGAGTTAAAGACCTCAAAGCAAATGGTACTTCAGCATCTCGCTTTCTATGCATATTATCCACCATCCTTGTGTAAAGAGGTCACGTGCAAAATTTTGTTATATTCTTCCAAAACAGTTCCAGGCACAAAGCTTTTCTTTTTTTGACAAATGTACAGACAACATTAATGGCAGGAGTTGAGGTTTGTTTTGTTTTATTTTAACACCTAATACAATTCAAATTTAAAGGATTACTTGCACAAAAAAATAAACACATTTGGTATAAAAATTTATCATCACTTTAACACCTTGTTTTTTCTTGCTCTTATGACCTGCCCCTTCTCTGGGGCAGAAACATATAAAGACTAATGGCACAAGTTTTATTCTACAGCATTTTTGTTTTCTTTTTACATACTCAAGTACCCTAGAGGACAACAGCCCGCTGTATACAAGAACCATTTTCTTCAGCCTGCTGAATTAAGTTTCATAAAGAACCAAAGCTATAAAGGCATTTTAAAAACCACTGTCTTATATTTTTTCCAGAAGCACTGACTTTTTGCACCATTTATATACATAATGTTACATAACAGCTCTTGAGTACAGTACATGCAGCAGAATATATCTGTTGAATATAAAACATACATTTAAAATCTTCACTTATCAGAATTCTTTGAAGAGTGAATTACTGGAGAATGCCCACTGCTTAGAGAAAATGGTTTCAGTACAAATGTCTGCATATATTGGCCGCTGGAACAATCCAAGGCTCACTGGAATAATATCTGCAGCACGCCAATGTGCATGAATACTTTGCTTACAATATTAAAACACAACTAGCAAAATCAACAGCTCCAAGATCTTACAACTGCTATGTTAACCCTTCTTTAACTGGTTGCAAGAAGTGTGGTGGCTTGCCTCCCCATCCCCGCCAAGTCCTCTATAAAATCTTTAGCATGTAATCTGTTTTCCAAATGAGGCAGCCTATTTATGTCTACTGCCTCTTCTCTTCATTGCAGCCGTACACTGTGGACAGTACCATTTCCCTTTCGGTGCTTCTGTCAGTCCAACACAGCCGTAATGGAACCACTCAATAGGGCACTATAAAAACAGAGTTAAAGAGAAGGGTTTTTTAAAACACTTGTCACAAAAAGCATTCAATAAAAATGAAACGCCAATAAGAAGCACAGATTCTACCCTTCACACAGAGTCACAAGGCAAGATAAGAAGAGGGGAAGAGTACATCAGCCTACAGCACACACTCAAAGAAAGCAGTAACAATTTCAGAAGTCAGACATGGACCAATATAACAGAGCAAATTAAATATACTACGCTTAGGAAACACCTAGCTTGACATCACCTAAAGTGACACAGATCTAATTATTGCTCACTACTGTGATAACAAAGTATGTCAATTATTAAAACATTCCATTCAATTCTTAAAACTTTTTTATCGGAATGGGACAACTGGTCCTAGCAGTGACACAGCTAAGAGTACCCAGATACAAAAGGTATTTTTTTATGCTAAACCTTCCTGAAAATGGAAAAAGTCTTCTAAATAGTTTCAACTGTGGAGACAAATGGGGAGAAGTTTCAACCCATATACACATTCCCATCTCACATTTACCACAAACACTTAAGCTCTACTTCTATTTAAGATTTCCATGAAATCTAGGAACCTGGTGCTACTACCATTTCTAACATCTACTGCCAACCTCTAGCTTTTTCGTCTTCATTCTTCCACTAACTGACTTTCTGCATGATGTCTTTGGTTTCAATGCAAGTCACAAAAGTTGAAATAAGAATGAAAAATCTGAAGTAGCAAGAGTGAAATCCAAAAATATCAGAAAGATGGTACATTTCCAGTATTTAAAGAAAAAATTAGTGATGGAACAAGCCTTTTCCATTTTGAAGCTGCTCACAGAAGAAAGAAAATCACTAATACGCAGTGTTACAACATTTAAGACAGTGAACAACTGAGGAAATATTCAAATTTGTTTAATGCAAGGGTTCAAAAATTCTATCTTTGCATATGCTTTATTTTTTTGTAAAAATAGTCTTTCAACCTCAAAAAAGCACAGCAATTTTGTTTAGAAGAGCTACACAAGCTTAGAAGTTCTTAAAAGCAACATTCCTAGTGTACAAACACTTTCTTATAAGAATTGAACCATTTTCTGCTTAAAAAAGAAGGAATAAATGGAATACTGAAGCATCTGGAATTAATAATATTAAAAAATATCTCCGTCTTCTTTCGCCACTTTTTTTCACTCATTCACACTTATTTAAGGTCACTGCTAAGTCTAAGGTAGGGTAGAGGTCAAATATGGAAAAATAATTACTTGCTTTTTTAAATCAAAAAGCTTCATTGTTCTGTACATGAGACTAAAACTGAAAATAAAAGAAAACAAAACTCTACTCTTAAACTTACTCTAACGAAAGTTAACTTCGGTAAGCAATATTTATATGCACAAGCCTCTCTCATGAAACTTTAGGACTTTGTTACTTACATCTTGATTATCACAGCCTACCATTTCACCATACGACACCTAATTAAAAGAATAAAAAAAAGTTATTAATAATTATAAGTAAGTGAGGCTTTCAAAGGCCTAAGATTTGAGTTTTTTCATTGAGAAGTTTTTCCACTAACAGCAGCAATAATATTTGGATATTTTTACGTATTTGCTAAACAATCTGAAGAAGGTTACATTCATACCAAACTGATTTCTAAAATCTGTTTTTTTTTTTTAATATTAAAAAAAAATCTGTGTATGCATATTTCAGGTTGGATAAGGAAAGACAGCATTCAAAACACGAGAACAGCACTCAGCACATTACCATTATAGACTTCCCAATGATATTACTGTTTAGGATTTCCCTTGCCAACATGACAATTTCAAGCCCTTTTACTATCACTATTTGAAAATATCAAATATTTTCAACAGAAAAAAAGGAAAAGAAAGAATACATCGTAGCATATTTAAATGTATTTAAAATGAGAACTATTTTTAAATGTCTGTTCTTCTGTCTGCTTTCATCCTTTAAAGTTTCTGGGTGGCTTTTACAGAAATAGCAGTTTCTCCATTATTCCTACCAATGGAGAGACCTGGCAAATGATCTTCCTTTCCAATTTGCAATTTTAAGTAAGTACACTGTGAAACTCTTCAACGTGTTCAATCAAGTCTTCAAGTGTTGAGTAAAAGATTTAGAACTCTCCAGATATGCTACATCACAGAAAAAAATAAACTTCTTCTAAGCTTCAACAGGCGAGTTCACTACTCCTACCACCAGCAGGTAAATACTAAAAACATTCTATCTTCCGTAGTGAAATTCTGATCTGCTTTTAATTTAAAAACCAGAATAGGAAGTTACAATGAAGTAGCAGCTCTGATTATACTTCAGGTTGGCGGTTTTTCTTACCTGATTACAAATGCAGTAACGTGGCTCATTTGGATCATAGGTCCAGTCAACCTGGCTATTAGAATCAGACTCTGGTATTACTGCTGTTTGCTGAGACAGTTCCTGCGCTAACGCAGATGAAGAAGAACATGATGATAGAGAGGAAGAGGAGGAAGACGACGAGGACTGCTGACTTGAGGATTTGTTGTTGTTTCTGAACAAAGGAAAAATAACATACTATAAATACATTCACTACCAAGTGAAAAGATCACACAGCAAATACTTCACAGACTCTGAAATGCTCACAATGTAAATATCTGTGTCATTCCATAATAGATTTCAAATGAAATAGATATATTGATTGATGTTTGAAAAATGAAACTAATCCATGCCTTTACGATGGTCAAGATAACATTATTTACTAGATTATTCTAATCAATGGAATTTAACAGCCTTAAGCTGTTAAATTGCTTCAATTAATGTTTTTCTTGACACCGGGTCTGCCGATGAAAAGTGTTAAGTCTAAAAAAAGTTTACCAATAAACAGAATTTCCATGTATGTGTTATACAAGTCATACACAACGGATAGCTGGGTTTGAAGCTGACTGGCTCTATGTTAATCCCCACTCAAGTACCATCAGCCCATTAGAACTATGCCGGTATTTATAATAATAAGCTTTTACTTATAGGTCAGATCTGACACCCCAGACAGCTGTAGATGAAAAACGTTTTAGACACAATTATTTGAGAATGCACATACTTTTAAATTGACTTGCATTTTTTTTTATATGAACTTGCATGCATTCTCCGATAAGCTCTTTCTAGTACTGATTCACTAGAATTTGCAAATACTTTTAAATTAATCTGATGTAGAATCCCTTCTGTTTGTTGTCTGAAATGTCCAGTCTTCAAAGTGTTGTGATTTTTTGCAAAGTGGCATGAAGCAGATGCACAGTTCTATTTCAAAATCGTCTACAAAGCTTTGCTTAGTAATTTCTATTATTTGATTTTAAGGCATATCTTCACTCCAAAGCAATGAGAAAAGAAACCAGGCTATGTAATAGAAAAAAAAAGCAAAAGACGACTTTTATTTAAAAGCCTGGAGTGGGTTTAAATAAAAAGAAAAGCGAGAGAACAAGACAAAAAAGCCCTGAACAAAAGAGGCCAGCAGGCAATAACTGCCTTGTGTTGTACGGGCTGTTATCCCAGGAATATAAATACAAGCCATGCATTTTAAAAGAAACCTTAGTTGCCTTAAATTTTAACTACAGTGAACAAGAATGAAAACCTACTTGCTTTTTCTGCCACTTCGTGAATCTGTTGTTGATGAACTTAATGTCTGTGTCAACGTAGATGCCAGAGCTGATGATGAATACCCAGTTGAATCTCTGGATAGTGAAAATTCTCTTCCAATCTGAAAATCATTGTTCTTAAATGCTTCATAGCTAGCTTTTAGACTGGATGTCCTTCTTCCTTCCTTCATCTAAAAGGAATACTGATACTGCATCAGATTACACAGCAGAGTTCTTGCATAGGACATACCAGGCTGCAAACTATTATTTGCAGAGATTTATTAACTACCCTAATGAACCAAAAATGTATAGTAGATGGTAAAAATGGGTAAGAATATCATAGGAAAAGCTACATAAGCTGTCCCCTTTTTGCACGTTTTATGAGATTAAATTGTAGTATATGAAGAACTGTGGTAATATGAAAATTAAATCATGTCAACTGAAAGTGACTGTGGAAATCTGGATTTAAAAACAAACAAGCAAAATCACTAGTCTTTCTACTTAATCAATAATGGATGGCAAACTCTCAAGAATGTTTTGACATTACCTGTGCTGTGGCTTGCACTGCTTGAGCTGCTGCCATGGTAATAGCACCGGCCCCAGATCCTGAAGATAATGAGCCCAGGTTATATGATGCCAATGGTTGAGAAGAGTTTGTATTGTATGCATTGTTTGAAGAGGATGATGAATTACTGTTTCGACACCCTTGATGAACAGAATACATTTATGAAATTCAAAATGAAGCTGAATACCTTTGCATTTTAAGAAGAGTTATATATGACAACCAGGGACAGAATAGATAGTCTGGTTTAGAGTAGTATGGTCGTTTTGAAAAAACGAGAAATGTTGGAAAAATGAAGACAGCATTAGCTTTGGGGAAAAAAAAAAAAAAAAAAAAGTGAAAAGTTTATTCTCCACCTGTCTTCACATCCAAAGAGTCCCTGGCTGAGTCCAGCTGCTATGTCTGTATAAACCGAATCTCAGTTAAAGCAACAATCACTGCAGTTATCAAGAAGTAAAAGCCTGACTGTACAACAATACTCTGAAATAAAACTTGCAATAGTATCGTCTAAAAACCTAAAAACTACAGATCACAACAACTGTAGCAACACAAATTTCCAAAACAATCAACAGTGACAGCTGCTCAACAATTGCAGTCCCATTTCATTTGCCATCTCTTGCAAACCTTCATAAGAAAACAAAGAAACAAACAAAAAAACATCAACAACAAAATTAAGAGAACAAGTACAAAAGGCCTATACAGGCCTTTGGTGAATGCCACTAAATGCCAAAACCCCTGTAGCAGACACCGAAATGCTTAATTCACACTACAATTCAGGAGGATTAGTCCATAAAGGAAAAAGAAAAATCCACCTTTTCTCTCCATACAGGTCACAGTAAGTAAATATTTTGGCTACAGACAGCTGTGATTCGGATATATCTGACCTGCCAAGTCTAAAGCAAAAAGATAAATCTGTTTCCACATAGCACATTGGAAACATGTTATGCACAAAATATAATGCTTTCTTTTTCCATACAAGATAGTATTCTTACTTTGAAAATCAGCAACAAAGTTTTTGTTTTAAATTCACTACTCAAAAGGACTTCTTTCCTATTTTAAAACGCACAGCAATGCATTTTATTTTACTGCACCTGAATAACAGGCCACACCCCTTAAAAATAAAGGAGTGAAAATTCATTTCCCCTACACTGCTTTCTTTTCCAAAAATGAGAATGCATTGAATCAAGTATTTCTACTACTGGTTGAATGAAGCTGTATTGCTACTTCTTGCAAGCAAACACCAGTTGACAAATGACAAAAACCCTGATATGCTTAATGGACAGATGAATATTGTTACATTACAGATGGATAACACTGCCTCCAATTTTTCATGTTTCAAGTGACTGAGAAACCATAAAAACATATTAGCCCTTATGATCTCACAAAACAGGACATTCCATCATTAAAAAATAATAAAATGCAATGACAATTAAGATTACCTGGTGTATTCTCTTTAGAAGCATCTGAAGTGAGAGTAGATAGAAGAGCTTCAGATTTAAACTTCTTCTCAGGAACATGATCTGTTGTACTATGGTGAGAAGATGGATTGTGTTTCCTTTCTAAATAAAACAAGTGTTGTGAACTTCAATGCAAAAGCTTTTCAGTCTAAAACTATAACCACAGATAATAAACAGTATTTTAAACTAAAATCCTCCAGTAAAGGCTTGTTATTTCATTCCTGAAGTTCCTCTAAACAGAAATCATCATTGCACTATGACTGACCACCTCTGAGCGTTTGTCACGAAAAAATACACATAACACTTAGGATATTTTTTTCTAGCATTACTTGAAAACAAATATGAAAACTTTAAATGTGAATATGTTTAAGCCACAAGAACTTACTCTCTACTGGAGTGTGTGAATGGGCATGATGGTTATTCACAGGCTGTGATGGTGTATCCAGCTCCAGAGACCCTAACGCAGAGTTAAAAAGGAGAGGAAATTTTGAAAGTTATAATTGAAAAGATTTTTCCTTTTATATACTATATGAATCTTTAAAATATTTATCAAATTGCTATGCAATTGCATTTATTTTAACCAGAACGATTTTTTAAATCATTATCAAAGTAGAAAAAGAAGTCAGCGAGTAAAACAGTTTTAAACTAAAAATTCATGACTGCTACCGTACAATTATTGAAATCAAGAGGTTAAACCCAGAGGCAATGAAGACACGACAACATTGCCCACCTTGTGCCTGCCATTCCAACGAGCTGCTCGTAGGCCACTTGGCTGAGCAAATATTAACCACGTTATCAACTAGTTAAAAGGCTGCCCTCTGGCGGAACATCAACAGCAGATGTTTACCCTGACTGCTAACATGTAAAGAGATTTCTACTTTTCATCTTATTAAAAAATATATTTCAGAGATGTAGTAGGAAGTCCAGTACACATAAGTTCTCAAAATTGTCTTTATGTACCTTGGCAATCACATGACTCAACTGAAAAACAGTATCATAACACTGTTAACTTGGATTCCAAATAAAATAAAATAGTTGCCCTTTTACGTAGCTACTATTTCACCAAAACACTTATTTTGCAGTTTTCTTTTTCGCACTTGTTTTGCGAAAGAAAGAGTAACTCTAAATATTCAGCGGTATTTCAACATGGCCAATTAGCACTGAAGCTGGAACTAAAACTTGAGATCAAAAGTGCAAATATTACAGGCCACTAACAAATTTATGGTATTTTCATTTCTCAAAATGACAGAAAACCTGCCAATGTCCTTTGCGAAAAGAAAGCATACTTACGTCTCTCTAATATTTCCGTTATTCCAGCATTATCTGCTTCAAGTTCCATTTTAAATTTGGCAAGTTCCTGGTCCAGTTTTCTTAAATGACGGTCTACCTGTTTTTGAGACAAACCAAAAACAAATAACACCCAATGTGGAACTATAATAGTTATACCTTTAATCTTGAGCCTGCTATATATTTCCCTTTCAGCAATTCTCTGGCATGGAGCACTGAGCATGACACACAGAAACATAACTTCTTGGTTACCTGCATTTCCTTAACTCAACAGCAACACTAGAAATAACATCAAAATAGGGTTGTTTTTCCTTACTTGTCCAGACAGAAGTGCAGAAGAAGGAAGAGAAAAGACATGCATGGATGGGCTGCTACACGTAGAAACTGAGGGTATTTCGTTGAACTACAATATAGATCACTGGCCTGAAGTATTGAGTAGGTGGGTCTCTAAACTGAAAAATTGAAAACTTCTTTGCTGTTGAGTGAAGTATATCCTGCTCTTACATACAAAAAAAAAATCCAAAACAAACAGAAACAAACAAACAAACACCCTCCTAAGCATCTTGAAAATAAACACTGATCTTTAAACATTTTGCTCATCTGTAGTCATAGAACACATGGTACAGAATACTGTACCTATCTGTACACAGCATTACTACAAATTGAATATGTTTTTGCAGTTACCAGCTGAGCAAATGAAACAGGTTAAGTTCCTATATCCACCATCAATCTGAAGCAGAAAAAAAAGGTAGACAAGGAACATCAGCTTCTTTTGTCTACTATATTTTACTATAGCCTAGCTTGCAAATTTTGTACTGCGAGAAAATGTAAATTAGATACACTTAAAACTGAAATACTTATCAAAACATTTTGAATTATTTGGTGGCAAAGTTAGCTAATTCACCTGTGTCTACTTACCAAGTCATATATTTGGTTAGCCAGTTGTACTTTTTCATCTGCATCTTCCAAAGCCTTATAATAATCCTGTTATGAAGAGATTTTTTTAAGTGATGCGTGTAACTAAAATAATTTCTGTTATTTTTAACTATTGTTACAGAGTGTGAAATGTAAGCTAAAGGCAAGATCTGAGTCAGTTTTCAGAGACTGTGAAGCTGTGTTGTAAAAAAAACAATCAGCTAAAATCATGCCTTAGAAAAAAGCCAAATCACAAGATGTTGACATTGACAGTCAGATTTCACAAGCTCCAAGAAAAGGAACAAAGTCTCGGGTTTGTTTTATATTATTCAGCATAAGTGTATGAATTCAGTGTGAGATATCCTTCAGTTTTATATAAATGTATTATAAAACAATTTAACTAAAACAACACAACTTAGAAGTCTGTTTTAATTAATGAAAATCCACAAAATAAAAACATTTTTAAAGTAGACTTAAACGTTTTAATTTTTTTTTTTTTTTAAACAGGCTTAAGTGCCTTTCCAGCCCTGATTTCCACTGAAAAATATCTTAGGTGAACACTGTGAAGTTCTGGTCCCATTGAAGTCAAAAGCATTTTTTAAAATATTTATTCTAGTTAAGTCAGATCTTTGATTTTATATATATACATAGATACTTATATAAGTGTATATGTAAAACCGTTTCTATTGACTAAGCAACAAAAACCCTTGGCTGAATAAGAGGCTAAAGCAGAAAGAATAGGAAGCTAGAAAGGCTTTTTAGTTTTGTAAAGTGACTGCCTACCACTATCAGGTCTAAGTCCTGAGGTACAAAATAAAAGCTGAAACATCTATATCTTCCCACTCCTCTCCCCTTAACATCACTTACACTGTAAGCATACCATATACAAGGACATTTACAGACTCAAAGGGAGTGCTGAAGCTAAGCTTGGAATTTCTTTAAGCAGCTTCACGTCATACAAGCAGAAACAAAGATTAAAAGGCTGAGCTCAGAATACCAGAGTATCTGGTATCATCACCACTATATACCTCTAATTTTTTAAAAATACTCGTGCATTTAGGGTAAAACTAAAGATGAATGCTTGATCAAGGAAGACTTTTAGCCTTTCTTCTGCTCTTATGTAGTTCTATGCATCTCTGTGAAAGCCCAAGCGAAGCCACAGTTCTGAACTGAATGGAAACAAGTTTTCCATTAATTGTGGCTTTTATAGCCTAAGGTTACCTTCTTCTGCAAAAGAAAAAAAAAGCACCCCAGTTCTGTGAGATCCTTACTTTTTTGATAGACGTCATTTGTTCTTCTCTCCATTCAGGTTTGTTTTTCTTTGCGTTCATAAAAAATTCATTTACCCGCTGCTCAAGTTGATCCATTGCATCTGTAGCACAGGAAAAGATTTTAAGATGTGTGTTATCTTCTCAGGTACATAAACACTATAAAATAAGTTTTTTTTTTTTCTTAAACAAAATTGACAGGACTAAGGTGCAAACTAACAGAGGGAAAAAAAAAGTGACAATGGATAGAGGAGGAAAATATTTACCTTAACTTCCAAGAAGCAGAACTACGTTCTGGTAGGATTCTCATCAGTGTTCTTGTGCTCTCCAGCAAGGGATAGGCAGGACTCCAAGTTCTAAAGGTTTTTTTTGTCCCTGAGAGCAGTGGCGTGACTTAAAGCATGACCCAAACTCCTCACCCGGGGCTCTAGACTGCTGACCTTGGAACTTTCTAGCCAGTTAAAAACCCAGCAGGAAACAAAATGTTCTCCTAAGAGAAACAGTCAAATAAAAAACCAAATAATTGAAAAAAAGAAAAATAGAGCTTCAAAAGGTAGACCTACAGAAGTGTGTAGCTGCCACCTTTAATTCCAAGTCCTCTCCACAATTTGCTAGAAAGAGTGAGAGTATATTGAAAGCACTCAGGTGATTTCCCCCACCGCCACCATGTAGAATTGAGCAGTAAATCCAGAGAAAAGCTGCCGTTTGGACAAGATTCTCACATCCATAAAGCTAAGAAGTATTGTAAGGGGAAACATATAGCCACCAATTCTCTAAAACTAATTATCATAAGAAAGGAAAATGTCAAACTGGAAGTTATTGGTTTGGTTATTTATTAAGACTGGAATAATGATTCCCTTCCTGTCCTCGCCTTCAAAAAAAAGGCACTGAGATTAGTATTTCAACAGCTGGACTTTTGTCCATTCACCAGCTTGCTTATTTCCAAGACCAAGCAGCTGCCTTAGTCAAACCAGCTTTGACAGCCTTACTAGTCTCAGGATAGATGACAGTGCTGAAAACTGTTTCCACGGAACTCTCAGTGATACTGTCCAGACAATAGTTTCAAATGAAATATGACAATGTATCGACTTCCTACCCCCTTCAGGCTCTCCATGTAAAACATTCAAAAAGCATTAAAATAGCCCCACATGATGGAAATCTTTATGTCAGAAAGTCAAGTATCTAGATCAAGAAACTCATGAGGTTGCAAGCATGACCTAACTCTTCAAATCAATGGAGTCAGTAGGTTTTCTCATTTTGTGAATTTTCAGAACTAGAATTATTTCTCTTCATGTATAATAACCAAAGATCATATAAACTAAAAGATCCAAGAGGAATATTTATTGATTGTGATTAGCATCAGAACCAAGAGGATGGTAACAACTGATGGCGGGACTGCAATTAATCTCAAAACAAAGCAGTCACTACAGAAGTTCACATCAACACTACTTACATCAAAACTTGTTGGCTGCTTTGGGTGTAAAACAGGTTAAGCATATGAGAACATACACTTTTCACTTGCACTGTGTCTTCTGGGAGAAGAAAAAGAAGTCTGAACAGGAAGCAAGCAGCTCACGCTGTCCCAAGGCTTCTAAAAGCTTTCTGTTTTGGCCCCATATGACTATAATTTGGTCTATAAACCCAAAGGATAAGATGTTCTATCTCCTACTCCAAGAGTGGAAACAGCTAGAAGGTGACAAGAATTATTACAGCTCCCCACATGTGGAAAAAAAAAATGCCTCTTTTTTTTTTAATCAAGGACACCTTTCACTCATGTGAAATAACATACAGAAAAACTTTCCAAAAAACCTGCTCTCTCCTGAAAGGTCAGGTCTGTTAAGTAGGACCACAGGACAGACCTAGTCAATTATCTAAAAGATCCTCTTTCTTAGTACAGATTTGCAGGACAGGAAATTCTGCTAGAAAACGAACTTTTTTTCCAGAGCTTGACATCTTACCATGAAGGCCTGGAAGATAATCCAACTGAAACAGAGGAAGACATTTTATGCTCCACATGAAAACTGTCTTAGAGATCAAGAGTCAAAGTCGCAACTCCAGTGTTCTTCACTCCTCCCACGGCAATTTTACCAAGATATACAGCAGAAACAGCTGGTTTGCCTGTATGTCTTCCAGTGACAAGCAGCAGCACTTGCTTCATTGGAACTCCATGTCATCCAAGTAGGACAGACTACAAAGTCAGCATCAACTCTGGCAGCAGCCCAGTTATCTCATTGAGGCTCTTTCAGGTTTGTGAGAGAGAAACATTTCAATAAGCAAGCACTGTTTTCAAGTACTTCTGGGATGGTGACTTGGCAGAGGAAGTCACTTATCTCACAGCATCAGAATAATCTGATTCGTACAGAATATTCACCTGGCAGTTTGACAATTGATACTGAAGACATAAGAGCTTTGGAACTTTGTAGTGTTTTGAGATGTTTTGTCACTTGTTGTGCAAGAAATCTGGGCCTAAGGTTGATCTTAATATACAATAGTGTCATCTGCCATTTCCAGCTACGGCAGAGGAAATGACAGTACTGCAAACCTGGCAGTGCTAGTTATTGCGCTCAGAAATACACTTTAACAACTACCTTCCTTGCTTCTGCACTCAAGAGAAGACATATTTGTGATCTCACTTGGAAACACCTAAGTCCAAGAGCTGCTTCCTCCCTTTCCTAGTGCTCCCTGGTGCCATTCACTTCATGAGCATTACCTCTTATTGCTCATTTCCTGAGCTATTGCTCACATCCTCCGGCTACAGCACTGAAGTCAGGACAACACTACAGTATACAGACTTAAGCCAGTTCACATGCATTAATAAAGACTTCAGCAGTCCCAGCTGGTCTGTTTATCTCAGACAAAGTCCGAGATCCCACTTCAAAGAATTATAGGTCAAACTACTGTTTTAAAGAGCAGTGTTCCTAGATATTAAAAACATGGTGCTGCATTTCATACTACTGTACTGCACTGACTTGTTATTTCTATCCTTGCTCCTTCTTCCTCTTCCTTCTTTTCAGACCTTTTGTATTGTTGATTCCTCTCATCACTTAAATTCGTTAACAAAGACTTCTGCATTATGGACATGAACATATGAGTTGTGTGTTAAGTGACAGAGACACCAAGCTAGAAGGAAGCATCCTTTAGGGCGCTGACACAAGTCACAGATGAGACGGCAATAAAAATCAAAAGACAAGAATTGAGCAGCACTGAGGTAAAGAGGATGTAAAAGCTATAAAGAACAACAGAAAACCACTAAAACAAACAGTTATTTTTAAGTGTCAGCTAAGGGCTAATAAGAGAGCTTTGACACATGTGATCATGAAGGGAGCTGGCTGGAAGGTTTCACAAACATCACACGGCTACCTGCTGAAAGAGCAGGATATAACCCATGCTCCAACCTACCACCACTGCTCTTAGGGATCAAAGATCTAAAGAGCTTGGGACATGCCCTCGAAAAGGCCACGGGGAGCAGCACAAGCGCCGGGTCCAAGCTCCGGCCGGGGGCCGGGCCGGGCGCGCTGCGGGCGGCCCCGCTGGCGGCCACGG